TTAAAGACTGAGTGGGAGTTCCCAGAGGGACTCGTGAGGGAGTCCATTACGGTGCACTCCACTGGATGCCTCTCATCTGGCCATGCACTGCCACTCCTGCCTCCCTCCCCCCTTTCCTCATACAGGGGATTCGCATCATTATTCTGCAGACTGAGGATTCCATTGTCCTTGCAATAAAATCCCAACTCCTTTTAGGACCCTAAAAGTCTCCAGGTTGGGGATTCACCTCCTAGGAGCCTCCCACCTCCCAGTTCCCCACACTGGCCTCCTGGCTGACCTCACCAGGGCAGCTGCTACCCGCTGAGAACCTCTGCTATTCTCTTTTCCTAAAACCCTCTTCTGCTTGAACTTGGCTCCATTCAGATGTCATTCCCACAGAGACCTCCTGTACCCACACTGTTTCGGAAATAGCTTGCCTTACTTGAGAACCCTCAGCAATGTCTAGAATCCTCTATGTTGTTTTATTTCTCTGATTTAAATGAAAATTTTAAATTGAAGCAGGGGTTGTGTCTTTCTTGCTTACTGTGCAATATTCCAGAAGGGTTCCTGGCTCCCCATAAGCAAATTGGGGGGATGAGGGAGGGGGGAGGGAAGGAAGGAAGGAAACACTTCAGGTCATGGGAGCACAGTGGGAGAGGACGGAGAAAGTGGCACCTATCCTAGGTTCAGCTCCGACCATTACCCAAGTGTCATCCCCCTTTGACCCCCAGCATCCCTACACACACATGGACACCCACACATGACATCATCTCTCAAATCCCTTCTCCCTCACTGCCCCTGAGAAGATGCTGGGAGTGGAGACCTCTAGGATCTTTGCCTCCACCCTTGGGGGGTGACCAGAGCAGGGGCCCCAGCTGGACTGACTTGGGCAGCCTGTGCCCTCCTAAGACAAGAGGGAGCCAGCTGGCCAGTTTCGGGGCTCACCAGAACTGGGGTTCCTGTTTCAGGGCTGAACAATGACTGCAGCCCCACCTGCAGTTCCCAGTGGCCAAAAGCCTATTGGGGATCCCCTAGATAGTGAAAAGAGGTCTTTGAACTGAATTGTAAGGAAGAGATTGGGCCTTATTTTGCAGGTGGGCCACAGTGGACAAAACGTTGGGGAACCTGGGCAGTGGGTCCTGGACGTCTGGGCCTGTATCCGCCAGCCCTCCTGCAGCACCCATGTTTCCTTCATGTTGGTGGCCTCAGCACCCCACTCTGAGTCCCCAGTCACGAACACCAGCACCAGGCAGCCTTGAGCTGGGTGACAGGGGCTGGGGTAGACAGGCTAACAGTGGCTTTGGACACCCACTTTCTTCTCCTGAGCTAAGAGCTGTGGTGCCAGTGAGGTTGGACCTCCATGCGGAAAGGTGAAACACTATGTTTGGTTTCGGGGAAAGTGAGGTGGGGGACCTCTTTCCAGAGTGACAGTGGAGCCAGAACCTGAGGAAAAGGTAGGAAAGTTCTGGAAGAGGAAGGGTGGGTGTTTTAGACAGAAGTGCATAGACAATGACCTGGAGGTGGGGAGGAAGTGTTTTGGAGACATCAGTGGGTGTTTCTGCATCGGAAGTCTGGAGAGTTGAAGAGAACCCTCTCAATGGGCCAGCACAGAAGACTTAGGGATGCCAGCCAAAGACACTCGGCCCCATCCTGAAATACCCACAGGAGCTGAGCAGACAATAGTAATAGGCACGATTGTTTAATGATGAGGATATGTTCTGAGAAACATGACATTGGATGTTTTTGGTACTGTGCAAACATCATAGGGTATAATTACACAAACCAAGATGGTCTGTCATACTACATACCCATCCTGTATGGTACAGCCTGTGGGGACCACCACTGCATAGGCCTCCCCTCATTGACCAAAACACCATTAAGCAATGCATGGCTGTAGTAGAAGCAGGTCCAAAGTGAGGAGGGAGTTGTGAGGACTGTTATAAGAATCATAGATCATCTGGCACAAGCTTGGTGTTATCTTTGATAGGCAAGTACAGGATCAGGTCAAAGAGAAAGAATGCTCATTTTAAGTAACTGATGGGAAGGGAAAGAGCTGAGGCTCACGCTGTGCCTTAGTTCAGACATGAGGTGTGACTAGGACAGTAAGAGGGGTCTGGCAGATTGCAGGTGCTAATCGCAAGGGTGGAGGTCACAGCCTGGAGGAGACACGGTGGTGGGGGGGCAGGGGGGAAGCTCACTCTGACTGTGAAGAAAGCTTTGGGTAGCCCCAACAGCCTGTCTGGGGGGAGCCTGAATTTACTCCCACTCATGGCCTTAGAGTGTCCTTGCTAGAGGGCAGAGCTGCAACCTGGAGGGTGCCCCCTGGGTCCACATGATAAAGCCTCCCCTCCCCCGGGATGGGGAGGGGAGGCCACCAGCCTGGCGTGACGGAGGCCCCGGAGAAGTGAGCTATGTCCCTTATTGGTCACAGTACATTTATTTTTCATTAGCAGTTAAATGCAGACATGAGGGATTGTGCTGGGTTCAACGGGCAGCTGACGTGAGCAGTGCTTGGCGCAGTGATCGATAGGGAGGCTGGGGGCCCACATTTGCCTATTCTCCGCCCCCATGTCCCCAGCCCAGACCCCTGCCCACCAGTCCCAAGCCATAGGCAGGCACAGGCCACAACATTGGCCCATGGGGGCTCCCACCTCTTGTAAACCTGTGATGTCTACCTATCACCTCTCAGCCCCCTGCAGGCTGCTCAAGATTCAAGTTTGGCCCTGGCATCTGTGAGATGCTGCAGCTTCCTCATACAAGTCTAGAAAGACCACGGATCAACCAGTTCCCCGCTCCAGGCCAGCCTCTGGAGCCCGACCTCCCATTCATTTGCAGGTGCTGACACAAAGGTGGAGGTCACATAGCCAGGCTTTGGGAGACCTGAGTCAGGTTTAGTTCTGCCCAGGCTGAGCCAGATGCCTGGGTCAGGGGCTGGCAAGCAGCTGTTGAGTGACAGTGAGTAGACGTAATAACAAAAAGTGAGTCCAGGTGAAAGCTGGAGGTTCTAGAGGGTGTCACTTGTCCCTGTGCCCTGAGATTCCCCATCTGTAAGATGTCTACACAGTTTTGCCCCAAAACCTACACCCTCACTTCCCTCAACCTAATGGGAAGACCTGAGGGTGCTGGCAGGGCCCTGTGGTGGTTCAGGATGGGGCAGGGTTGGGCAAGGTGAGCTTTCCCCAGCTGCCAGCATGGTCCCCGGGCAGCCTGACCTTCATCATGTCGCTGCAGGAAAGCTCCCTGCCAAAGAGCCATTCCAAGAGGCAGAAGGACAAGCTGCAGTGAAGCCAGGGGGTGGTCAGGGAGGGGAGGTGGGGAGGGGAGGAGTGGGTGACACCCCCAGCACCACCGCTGCTGCCAGTCCCTGCCTTGCTGTGTCAGAAATGCTCCCACCTCCCTGCATCCTTCCCACAGGGAGTATTCCTGGGAAAAGGCACCTGCCAACTCTGTGCCTCCGTTTCCTCATCAGCCCCCACCCTGAAGAGATTGCTGTGAGGGTTACTGAGGCAAGGGAGAGGAAGCCCTTGGCATTAGTGATAGCAGCCTCAAAAATGCCTTTTTCATTTCATCTTCACAGCAGCCCTAAGAATTTGGTACCATCTCCCCATTTTGCAGGCGAGGAAACAGGCTCAAGGTGGGGTGCCTTGCCTGAAGTCACACAGTTTCTTTGCATCACTCAAGCCTGCCAAACTCATCCACTCTGAGCTGCCCTGAGCCAGCCCAGGATGCCTGCAGGACAAGATGCAGATCCCCTCCTCAAAGTCACAGTCTTGGGGTGGAGGTGCAGATGGAGGGGGTAGAGAGTCCCCGTGCAATAGGAAAAGAGGGCAGCATGGATGCCCCTGGGGTGGGCGGGGTGTGCAGTCTAGGCCCAAGGAACCAGGCCTCAGGGTTTGAAGTCCTGGGGTAGGGGTGGGGAAGTGCCCTTGGGGAGAACAGAGGAGCCAGGAGGCCTCTGTGTTGAGCCCCAGGAGACTTCTCCATGGGGCAGATGACAAGATATGTGACTGGCTCAAGGTCACCACTAGCAGGGAGCAGCAGAGGTCTCTGAAGCCCAAGTTTCTCCCTCTTTATGCTCAGAGGCCCCTGCTGATTGTAAATGTAGGTTGGCGCAGAAATCACAGCAGCCCTAGAGGGGAACTTTTTGAGTGGAAGAAGCTGAGGATGCGCCCCCATCCCCAATCCCCATGGCTTCTCAGGGGTCCTGCCGGTTGGAGCAGACGGTCAGACGGCTGTGGGGTTTACTTTCACCAAAGCCACAGAGCCAATTACCTGTGTAATTAGCAACAAATGACTTGTGGGATGCTTGTGGTTTTCAGTTAAAATTAGAAGAAAACCCATATCCAGTTCTCCTTGAAGGGTAGGGCATGCCCGCGTCCCTCAGGCTCCGAGACACTCTCCTGGTTACACCCAGCCCAGGTTTGCTTGCCCCAGCTCCTCCCTGGGGCCTCTGTCCTACAAGACTGTCACCGGCACCCCAGGGGCCCCTCAGAGCTGCACCCCGACACTGCCTGCTCCTCTCCTTCGTTTACTCAGTGTGTTCTGAGCACCTGCTATGTACAGGGACCAGGAGTGAGGATTGGCTCACAAGCTGTCCCAGGGGCAGCGAAGGCACCGAGCAAACTATCCCTCCCCTGCCCTGCCCTCAGCTGTTCACCTGCCTTGCTAGGGTCCCCTCCTCCCCTCTAGCTTTCCCCTGGGCCACCCTGGGCTGCTGGCTGCTCACCAGATCCCCAGACCACTACCAGAATACTAATAAACCCTGACCACAGCCACATGGGGAGAGCCCCCTACATTTTGGGCTTCTACCCCATCTCATTTCACCCCACACACACACTCTGCAGAGGCTGGTAGGCCCCCATTTGTCAGAGGGATACACTGAGGCTCAGGAAGGGCCATGTGGATTGCTGGGTGGAAGTGGCAATGTCTGGCTTCACTCTGCCCATCGGCCCCACCGCCTGCATCCCAGTCGCCTTGGCCGTAGGGCCCCAGCTCACTGTCCCCCTTCACCCCTGCTGCAGGTGCTCAGCAGAGTGCCACGGTGGCCAACCCAGTGCCTGGCTCCAACCCAGACCTGCTGCCCCACTTCCTGGTGGAGCCTGAGGATGTGTACATCGTCAAGAACAAGCCAGTGCTGCTGGTGTGCAAGGCCACGCCCGCCACGCAGATCTTCTTCAAGTGCAATGGCGAGTGGGTGCGCCAGGTGGACCACGTGATCGAGCGCAGCACAGACGGGAGCAATGGTGAGGGGGCTGGGCAGGAGGTGGGGCACTCTAGGGGTGCAGGAGCAGGCTCCCACCTTGAAGAGAGAGTCTCTGTGCAAGCAGGAGAGAAGGAGCAGCATGATGCCCGCCTCGGGGGTGGGCCAGGACCAAGGAAACTGGCCTCCCGCTTGGAGTCCTTAGTGAGTTTGGAGCTGCCTACAGGAGGGGTCTAAGCCTCAGAGGACACAGAGGCCCACAGAGGACTTGCAGGTGCCCCAGCTACATGCCCTTGAGTGCAAGGCCAGGATGGCACCAGCTCTGTGCCCTCCACCCCAAGCCCCCAGAAGAGGCAGGACCCATAACTAGGACCCTTGGTATCTACACCTCACATTTGGTGATTTCTTTGTGTGCCCATTTGTTCATTCATTCCCTGAGCAACCCCTCCCATGCTGGGGACACAGTCCCACCAGAGGTGGACTTGACTGAGTCCTGGGGGTGAGGCAGCAAGAGGAAAGTAGGACGGAGGCTACTCAGGGGAGGTGACATGTAAACTGAGGGGCATAAGAACTGGTCAGGGAGGAAAGAATGAAGGGATGGCCCAGGCAAGGGACATGGCACAGCAGAGGCCTTGAGAGAGACCAGCAGGGAGGATGTAGGATGTGTGCAGGAGGCAGTGGTGCCATCCGGGAACCTCACCCTTTGGACTCTGGAGTGAGGTCACCATCCTGTGGGATTTCAAATGACAAGTGATGGGGCCAGCGTGGGGGACAGGGTAGATCCAGAGACGCTGAAAGGGGAACCTGTGGTACTTGGTACAGGCAGGAGGGAAGGGTTCTGGGGGAATGGGCCTCTCATAAGACACCCCACCTCTCTTCTTAGACAGCAAGTAGGCAGTGGGCCCATGGCCAGAGACCTTTGTTTGGATTCCAGTGCTCCCTAAGAGCAGACCCTGCAGAGCTGACAACAGACTCTTCTTGTGCCCCTGACTAACTGAATCCCAGTTAAACTTATTTTCTCTCCCTTCTACTTGGTGCTTTGGGGAGCCCCATACACACATGATGAGCCCTCAAATTCAGTCCTGAGCCCCTTCCCATCTTGGCAGATGGGCATCATCTAGCCTGAGACACACATACACACCCATAGGGTCCAGTCGCCAACATGAAATCCCAGCCTCAGTGCAGCCAGGACAGGAGGACAAGGCCCAGGACCACTCATGCTATTGGCAAGGGCGGCAGGAGGGCTTGGGGTGCTCATCCTTCTAGGCAGGAGGAACTGAGTGGCCCAGGAAGGACTTCTGGAGGAGGCATCCAAGCACAATTCTTAAAACCCTCCAGCATTTCCCAAGCCAAAGGACCAAAAGGCACAGGCACAAACACAAGAATGGCAGCTGCTGCCAGGGCCTCAGACTTAGGGAGGGAAAGAAGGGACAGGGAGGAGCTCAGGGAGTGCTGCAGCTAGATTTGCACTGTGGGATGTTGGGCTGAGCAGAGGAAGACTGGAGTGGGGCAAGGGGGGCTTACCTGGGAGAAGATCGAACAACCCAGGAGTGAGCAGAGAGTTGAGCAGAGTTTAGGCATCTTGTCCTGTTCAGGAGGGGAGGGTATGGAGGCCTCTCCTCTGACTCATCTGGCCTACCAGGCTCAGCAGAGGCTGCTGTCCTTCCCCCAAGTCCTAGCCCTCCCCCTCTTAGTGATTCCTGCCCTGGCCTGCACATCGTCTGACATGCAGTCCTCAGGTGTTAATTGGCAGATGCTTGGATTCAGCCCCCAAGTCTCTCTAGGCAGGTGATCCAGCTCTGCCCCCACTTTCAGGAGGAAATGTTGAGGTCGGTGACCTCTGTGGCCCAGAAGAGACCTGGGTGCCGTCAGCCCCTTCCCATCTTGGCAGAGGTACCAGAAGCCTCCCTGCCTTGCCTTCCCAGGCAGCTTTAGAGCCCACCTTGTCCCAGCGGGAGGGTCTGCCTCTCGCGGGCAAATTCCCTCCCTCCCTGGGCTTCAATTGCCTCCTCTGTAAAATGGGCATGAGGAGAGTCCCATGCACAGCCAATGTGAGCCCAGCTTTCCTTTCTCCCCGTCCTACTCTCCCATCTTCTCCCAGGGTCCACAGCCACTTTGGGACATGGTAAGCCCCCTCCCCCCGCCCCCGCGCCCACCACTGCTATGGCTGTGCAGGGAGAGAAAGGACACGTGAGGAGAAGAAGGAAGCCACAACCAGAAACCGCCCTCCTGCCGCGGTGAGGACCCTCTTGGAAGGCCCCAGGCCAGCCCCGTGCTACTCCCAGCCTCCCCGTCCAGGTCCCACACACACACCCCTCTCTTCTCTCCTGCCTGGAAGTCTGGGATCCATGGCTTGGCTGAGACCCAGGCCCCCACCTCCCTCACAGTCACAGGCTGGGCCAACCCACATACCAGAGTCCCCAACAGACTTGCAAGGCTTGGCTTCCTTCAAGCTTGGCAGGGAGCAGAGCTCCTGGGGACACACTCCCCTGGGTGGGCTCCTGCCCTGAACCCCCAACCCAGACCTCCTGTGTCCAGTACATCTGAATTGTCTTTGATTATGTTGCTTTCTCAACCAAAGGCCACTGTGCAATTTGAGGTAAAGAGATCTCTTTCCCTTTCTCTCAAGCAGATGCCAGGGTATGGCTGGTAGCACTGTGCAGACACACAGAATGCAGACCTTGACCCAGAAATGTTCTGTGGCAAGATCAGAAGTCACCCCATAGCTGCAGCTCCACCCATTCTTGGGTGGGGTTGGGGATGGCTGGGCAGATACCCCAGGAGAGAGCACCGCCATGTTCCCCTCAATTGCCCTCATTCCCCATCAAGTAGGTTAGCAGTTAGGGAACAAAGCCTGAAAAGCCCTCAAACCCAAATCTGCTGATGCTATTAAGGCCCAAAGTTAACAAAACCAAGCTTTGGAGTCCTGTCTAAGAGTGTAATTCATTATTTGTTAAACAAAATGATTGATTACTAGAAGCAAATCTGTAAGAAGGAGAACCTAAGTCCCAGCTTGACCTCAGAGGGCCCCCCCTCCACTCCTCACCCAACTCTCCACCTCCCCACACACTCAACTCACCCACCCAGGGTCTCCCCACATGGCCATGGCATTCACACGCCTACTTACACCCCACATGCTCCCGGGCCAGCAGGAGCCCCTCCTCCTTCCTCCCCATCCCTCCCCAAGGCTGGCATCTGCTCACATTTACCAGGTTGGTGCAGACAGCAGTGCCCAGGAACTGCTCCCAGGAGCCAGGCTGCTCTGTGACCTGCAGGGAGGAGGGCACAGCCTTTCACATCAAACACCGGGCAGGGCAAGGTCTGGGTGTCCCCATCAACCCACTACCCTCCCGGAGTTTGTGGAATTCAAGGGCATCTTTTGCTGAGCCCCTGCCTGAAGCTGGGACATTGTGGACAAACTTGGCCCTCATTCATAGCAGCAGGAAGAAGAGGAGGTGGTAGGACAGAAGGGGGAGGAGAGAGGGAGAGAGAAATAGGAGCTTAAATTTAGTGCAGTTCTTCCCAAGCTGAGTTGCCTGGGCGGTATGTGAGGTCCTCCCATCCCCCCTCCCAAAAGACTGGAGCTGTCCATCCCTAGACCCATCCAACCGGGAGACAGAAAAAAGCACCTAGTTTAGAATTTTCTGGAGGTGTCCCACCACTAAGCCCAGAGTCCAGAGGAAAGTGGTCTTATTTCTACCCCTGGGTATACATGGCTCCTTCTTAGATACCCCAAGACTTGGTGTTCCTCAAAGTTCACTGGTGCCCAGGTCCCCTCTACAATACACAGACCTTGTGAGGGAACCTTGGTGCTCAGCCCTTACCCCAGCCCCACAGAACTCACACATCCGGGGCCCTAGAGAACAGGAGAGAAAAGGGGCAGCAGGCAGTACCTAGAACAGATGGATCAAGCCCAGCTATAATGACCTCAGCTGGAGGTGACACCCCCACCTTCTGTGAGAACTCACTGGAGGACAGGAGTGAGTGATAGGAAAATCTGGAGACCCACGGTGGGAGCTGGAGAAACTTGTGGAGAGGGGCCTGGGCAGGGGTCAGGGAAAGACACGTTAGAGAAATTAAGAGAGAAAACAGCCTCCCGGGCTGGCTGCTAGCTGGACTGCCTCGCCTCCCGCAATGCAGCCCTAATTGAATTTCTCTGTTAACAATGGAAACACCTCGGCAGTCCAGCTCTCTCCCTCTTTCTGATAAGCCAGTGACCCGAGGGAAATTGGGGTCAGGAGGAGGAGAAATTGGAAACAAACAGTCTTTTCTCACTCCTGGGGACACTGGTTTTGGCTGGGGCCCCCAAGGAGCTGGAGGAGAGCTGACAACTCCCCTCTGTGTCCTCAGAGGCGCAGACCCTCCCCTGCACGGCCTCATCCCAGGTCCTGGTGTGGCCCAGGGCAGGAGACTGAAAGCATCCATCTCCTTGAGAGGGTTCCCCCCATGCAGATTAACCCAGTCAGGGGTAGAGCAGGCCCCAGACACCCATCTCAGCCAGCTTCCTCTCTGTGGGTCTCCCTCTCTCCACCACTATAGTCTCTCCCTGTGGCAGGAGCACCCCGGCCCACCCTAAGGTGACTGCAGAGTACCCAGAGTGCTCTTTGGATCCAGACAGCCCGGGTGCCTATGACAAGCTGCTCCTCTCTGGGCCTCTATTTCCCCATCCATCAACTGGGAGCAATATGATCTAGGGGTATAACTTGAGGAAGCAGGGATGCTGTGGTGTGGAAAACCCTTGCTAAGCCCTAGGGGTCTATTATCATGCTCCATAACTGCAGTAATTATATTGTTAATAGCTGTTATTATATTATCACAGCCAGAATCTACCTGCTAACCCCCACGGAGGTGAGCCAGATCCTTCTTCACCCATTTTTACCCACAAAGCCCCCAAAGCGGGCCTGTCTGCCCACCCCCTCTGCCCGAGTGGTGGGAGGCCAGCCCTTCCCCAAGCTTCCCCATGCTGTTGTCTCTGAACAACAGGAACCCCCTTTGGAGATATTTCTTTAAGTGACTCCAGGGAGACAAGACTTAGATAACAAAGTGTAATGAATGGAAGTTCTGAGGCCTCCTGGCCTTCAGGAGCTATCAGCTCCTGGGACCCTTCTATGCTCCCTCTGGGCTGATGGGTGCACCCAGTCTCCTGTCCAGCAGAGGGAGTGCAAGGACCTCACACACACACACACACACACACACACACCCTGGTTGCACACATGGACCCCGTGAGAGGCCCAGCATGGCCCCAGTACGCTCTCTCCCACCAGGGCTGCCAGCCATGGAGGTCCGCATCAACGTCTCGAGGCAGCAGGTGGAGAAGGTGTTTGGGCTGGAGGAGTACTGGTGCCAGTGCGTGGCCTGGAGCTCCTCGGGCACCACTAAGAGTCAGAAGGCCTACATCCGCATCGCCTGTGAGTCCAGGGCCCGGGTCTCGGGTGGGGGGTGGCCCAAGCGTGTCACCCGGGAAGATCCCATCAGAAAGCCTCAGGTCCTGTTTTGATGGGTGGAGGAAGAGCCTGTGCATGCTGCCTAGTCACCTGTAGGTCCCCTGGGCACGTGGTACTTCTTCACCTCTTCCTGCCGTGTGCTTTGGCCCCTGTGGGACTGGGAAACAGGCCCAGCCAGGCGGAGCTGACTTGAGGCTCTTGGGCTGGAGGACATGCTTGTTCTTCTCCCAGATTTGCGCAAGAATTTCGAGCTGGAGCCATTGGCCAAAGAAGTATCCCTGGAGCAGGGCATCGTGCTGCCCTGTCGCCCACCAGAGGGCATTCCCCCTGCTGAGGTGAGAGGGGCTCCGCTCCACAGGTGGGCAGGGCTCCCAGGTCTCCTTTCCACCTGCCCAACCCCCCAGACTGAGCCCCTCCCCACTAGGGGTCACTCGCTCCATCAGGCAGCAGAGGCATGCCTCTCCCCCAGGTGGAGTGGCTCCGGAATGAGGACCTGGTGGACCCAGCCCTGGACCCCAATGTGTACATCACCCGGGAGCACAGCCTGGTGGTGCGACAGGCCCGCCTGGCCGACACAGCCAACTACACCTGTGTGGCCAAGAACATCGTGGCACGTCGCCGCAGTGCCTCGGCCGCTGTCATCGTCTACGGTGGGCATCCACGATGGCGGGCAGAGGGCCTCCAGCCTGGGAGAGGCCCTAGAGGGGCTGGCAGAAAGCAGTGAGGTGTGGCTGGCAGGGTGAGAGAGCCATGGCGACAGAGCCAGGTGGACAGACAGTGGCCTGACCAGGAAGGAAAGGGAGAGGGCTGGCTGTGGCTGTGGGGGGCCAAGGGGCGTGTCTGAGGGGGTGGGGCAGTTGGGGTCATATGTGGCCAGACCATGGCCTGGCTTACTAGAAGGCTGTGGGAAGGGGGAGATGAGGGTCCAGGATGGGAGTCTAGGAAAGGCAACAACACACCCTGTGCTCTGTGCCCTGGCCCCCCACGGTAGGAAGTAGTTTCATGGGCACCCCCAGAAACAGGCAGAGGGAGGGTGCAGGAGTGGCCTTTATGAAAGGCCATGGGTCTGTGCCAGAGGAGCATGGGAACTGCAGTTAGGGCTGGCGGCCCCGAGTGTCCACAGCACCCACTGGGAGAAGGGGCTGTGAAGTGGGTGCTGCTGGGCCCTAGGGCAGTGGGCACAAGCATGGCCTCCCCTGGGGGGCTTCTCTTCCGGCACAGCCCCAGCCAGCCCGTTTCCAGCTCAAGCCCCCCTGCCCTCCTGCCCTGGTCCCTGGGCCAGCGTGTCCGAGGAAGCCCCCGCTCCCTGACCCCAGTCCTTCTCTGTCCGGCCAGTGAACGGTGGGTGGTCGACGTGGACCGAGTGGTCCGTCTGCAGCGCCAGCTGTGGGCGCGGCTGGCAGAAACGGAGCCGGAGCTGCACCAACCCGGCACCTCTCAACGGGGGCGCCTTCTGTGAGGGGCAGAATGTCCAGAAAACAGCCTGCGCCACCCTGTGCCCAGGTACCAGTGGCCACCACCTCCCGCATCGCTCCTCACCACACCATCTCCGTGTCCTGGCTTCATCTCGCCCACCAGCCTGCCCCCCATGGCTCCATCCCACCTGCCCACACGCAGAGCCAGGCTCAGTCCAAGGCCAGGATGGGGTTCAGTGTGATCAGAGGCAGGACTTGTTCTTGGTCCCGCCTGAGTCACAGAGTCTGAGGTGTAGTCGGGACAGATGCAGTCAGTGCAGGACAGGGCCCAGCCCGGGGGCTGCAGAGCCACTTGTGCTGGGACTCATAGGGTCCTCTGTGACTAAGCGCTCTCACTGCCCCAGGGCCAGGACGGCCCCTCTGGCGTGGGTAGAGCCAAGCAGGTCCGGCCTCATTGTGCCTCCCGCCATTAGCATGCGTCATCCAGACCAGCTGGACACCCAAGGACATGGAGACTGTCAACTGGGCCCTGGCCCCAGCATTGTATCGGGTCCAGATGTCCAGCAGGGCCGCATCAGCGGTCCAGACGTCCAGCAGGGCCACATCAGCAGTCCACCAGGGCTGGCTTCCCAGCTGACCAACTGTCTGTTTTGTGTCTAGTGGATGGCAGCTGGAGCCCATGGAGCAAGTGGTCAGCCTGTGGGCTTGACTGCACTCATTGGCGAAGTCGGGAGTGCTCGGACCCAGCACCCCGAAATGGAGGCGAGGAATGCCAGGGCGCTGACCTGGACACCCGCAATTGTACCAGTGACCTTTGTGTGCACAGTGAGTCCTTTCTTTCCTGGGAGTCCACTTTGCTTCACCAGGATTGGCCCTGCCCAGTCCAGGGAGGTGGTGGCCAAGGAAATAACCAACCCTTGCAAAACAGCACCTCAAGAACCGCCCCCACCCCGCCCTGCCGGATCTCCAACACACGCCCACACACTCCCCAATAGCAGCCACACTTCCCCTGAGAGAAACACATTTAAACCTTTACCAGGCACACCCATTCCCCAGGAAATCAACTCCCAAACACCACCCCTGCAGATTTGCCTCCGCAGGGACCCCACGTACACAGCAAGTCCTATCGGGACTCCAGACTTGTGAGGCCTGTTAATTACAAGGCCATAACTAACAATTAAAGATCTCCGTTGGATTTTTTTCTTTAGAACACACCCTCCCCCATTCTTTCAATTAAAAACCTAATTATCTGTGTCAATTCCTTTCTGATGGACATTTCTTCCATTATGCAAAGCCCTTCTCAAATCAATATAGTTTCCTCCAGGAAGTCAATCACCCCCTACAGACCTTGCCCAGGCCTCAGGGAGGCAGCCAAGGAGAAGAGGCCTTGAACCCCAGCACCTGGACCAGTGCCCAGATTGTCAGCCCTCCTGCCCCCAAGAAAGCAGATGTTCTGTTTTGAGGATCCAAGGAGCTCACCCTAGCCCCAGCTGCCCTGAGCCCCAGAAAAGCAGGTTTAGCCCACACCAAGCCTCCCTGGGAAGTGGCTCTTAGCATCCTCCATTATTTGGCAGCAACCTCAATCTGAATCGAGCCCTCAATTCTCAGAGTGACCTGGCAAGGTGGTAGCAGATGCAGGGCTTGGATGCACATGGACTGGCTCCGTGCTCCTCATCACCTGCATCAACCGCCCCAAGTGCCGATGCCCAAGGAATGGAGGCCTCACCCTTCTGGGTATAGACTGCTGACCTCTCCTTCCCGGCCTCCCATACCTTTCCCCTCCCAAGGCCACACTCTCTCCCGCAGCTGCTTCCGGCCCCGAGGACGTGGCCCTCTACGTGGGCCTCATTGCCGTAGCCGTGTGCCTGCTCCTGCTGCTGCTTGTCCTTATCCTCGTTTATTGCCGAAAGAAGGAGGGACTGGACTCGGACGTGGCTGACTCGTCCATCCTCACCTCAGGCTTCCAGCCAGTTAGCATCAAGCCTAGCAAAGCAGGTGAAGGGCCCCTTATCCCCAGCACTCGTGCGCAAGCCCCATGCCAAGGATGGTCCTGATGGGGCCACCCCTAGTCCCACTCCCTGAGTCTGTCTCTATCCTTGCAGACAATCCCCATCTGCTCACCATCCAACCAGACCTCAGCACCACCACCACTACCTACCAGGGCAGTCTGTGTCCCCGGCAGGATGGACCCAGTTCCAAGTTCCAGCTCACCAACGGGCATCTGCTCAGCCCGCTGGGTGGTGGCCGCCACACACTGCACCACAGCTCACCCACCTCTGAGGCTGAGGACTTTGTCTCCCGACTTTCCACCCAGAACTACTTCCGCTCCCTGCCCCGCGGTTCCAGCAACATGGCCTACGGGACCTTCAACTTCCTCGGGGGCCGGCTGATGATCCCTAATACAGGTGGGAAGGACCCCAGAATGCCCTGGGGAGCTCTGAGAGGCAAGCCCAGAGAACAAGACAGCCCCGATGACCCTTCTATGCTTCTCAGCCGCAGCCCAAGTCACTGAGCCAGACCAGCAAGGAAGGGGGATGGAGTTAGGAGAATGCAGTGGTGACTGGCATGAGGTTGTGATCTCTTCTACTGGGACTACTGCCCACTCATTTACTCAGCCAGCTTGCATGGGCCAGCTCTTGGGCCCAAAGGGAGAGAGCAGGTGGCCACCCCAATGACCCCAATGAGCAGTGAAGAGAAAGCAGGTAGAGTAGCCCCTTATGCCTAAATAAGGGACCCCTCCACCTACCACCTCACAGAAACACATGTGTCTGGGTTGCCAAGAGAATGGGGGTCACCTTGGCCTCCTGCTCTTCTTCACTTGCCCACTCACACCCTGATGAAGAATCCACAGGCCCTTTTTGTGCTCATTTTTCCTGGAAGTACCTCAGCCTCTAGTGTGGCTGCCCACTCCCACCATGAAATTCTCTATTCCCTCAGCTTAGAGGATCCTGAGCGCCCTTGACTTTTTGCCCCTCCAGCTGCCCCTGGTGTCTGCTCCCTAAGTGTAGGTATTTCTCAGGGCTCCCTCATGGCCCCTGCTGAGTCAGTCATCTCACCCACTTCATGGCGTTAGCCCGTGACTGTGCAGCTCCCTCCCCCTGCTCCATCCCCAGCCACAGCTCTCCTGGGCAACAGAGCTGCACACCCAGCTGCCTCCTGGGCAGCTCCATCTGGATGTCTCACAGCACCTCAGATTCCTCGTGCCTAAAACAGCACCGTCTCCCACCCTCCCCCAGAACCTCTTGCTTCCCTCTTTCCCTCCTCAGGGACAGTACTGTCTCTCGAACCAGAAACTGGGGTCACCTTGACCTGCTCATCTTCACTGGCCCGCTCACCTCCACGCCAACTCGGACAATACCAATCCCATCATTCTTCCTCCTCAGTGGTCCTGCAGCCTCCTGCTCCTCATCTTCCCCGAGGCCTGAGCCACCGTCCACCTCCCACTTGGTTCATGGGTCCCAGCATTCATCCAGGAAGCCATACGTGATCATGTACCACAGCCCCCAACAAAGCCTGCAGGACCTGTCCCTGCCAACTGTGGAGGCCTCTCCCCTCCCACAAACCTTCACTGGCACATGGAGGCCACAGTGGGCTCCCAGCACCACAGACACACTGTGCTGCACTGTGGCCCCATTCATCAACCCCTCCGCGTGGTGATATCGTGCCCCTATCCCCATTGGCTGCTGGAATGATGTCAGGTGGCTGATACCAAGCCCTTAGAAAGGGGCGCAGTAGATACTCAGTGACCATCAGCCCTTTATTCCTCAGGCAGGGTGAGTGACCTGCTTGCATCTGGTGCCCAGCACCCTTGGCTTCCGCCCACTTGCCTCTCCCATTGGCTGAGCACTTCGTGAGCGCAGGGCCTATGGTTTCCCTGCCTGTCCGAGAATGGGCATTAGCTTTCATTGAATGAGTATGCAAGTGAGTGTGCCTGTCACACTTAGATCTCGGGGACTGTCACCAACACTGGCAGCCAGCACCAGGAGGCAGCGCGGGCTAGCGAAGGAAACAGCAACCATAAATGTGCCATCAGTGGCTTCAGTTCCAGGAAGCAGTGGCACTCCACCTGGCCACCAAAGTTGCCCACCCCAGAGAGTGTGTGCACTTTCAGAGTTGGTAGGATGGAGTCATTGAACTTCTTCCCCCTCCCCACTATGTAGGGACTCCCAGTACTAAAAATGCAGGAAGATGGGACAGGATCACCCCCATATTGGATCCTGCCCACTGCCCCTCCCCTTGAATCACTCCCTTCCTCAGCAGGCACTTTTGATGCTGCCCCTACAAGACAGTTGGATGATTCTGCCAGACAGGGTGATTCGTGTGCCCTGGCTCCCAGACTGGGGGGACAAGAGGGGCAAGCTCCATCTGCAGGGGACCACTTGCCCTTCAGGAACCAAAATCACCCAGAGGTGACCAGGAACGACAGAGAGGGTGGGAGGGCAGAGTACCCAGGCAGAGCATGCCTAGGGCAGTAGTTCCAGAATTGGCAGGATGTGAGACATGGGCTGGACTGAAGATGCTGCTGCAAAGGCCATTGGGGCCAGAGGCAAAGGGCTTTACATACCAGGCCAGGGAACCAAACCTTCCCTGAAGGCAAGGAACGTTTTGAGCTGAGAGGGCCCTGGTGATGGGGAAGGTAGGTACAGACCTGGCACCTTGGGTTCTGGAGATTCTGAGCCAAAGCTAACTGGGCATGCTTTCCCCCCTGTGCTCCTCAGTTACTCTTGGGCCACCCTGACTCAGCTTCATGCCTGGGTGGGTGATTAGACAGAGGAGACACCTCGGCCCCCACCCCAGGCTGGGGTCAGTCCCCAAAGAGAAGCTCCTGGAGGGGCTGTCGAATTGGTGTTTGGTATCTCTGCAGCCCTGGTAAACCTCTCCTTCTGCTCTTTCCCAGGCATCAGCCTCCTCATCCCTCCAGATGCCATCCCCCGAGGAAAGATCTACGAGATCTATCTCACGCTGCACAAGCCAGAGGACGTGAGGTGTGGGTATAGGCCCCGCCGCTGGGCCGGGTAGATCCTGTTCGCTGCTTCAGTCTCTATAATGGCCCTTTCAACCCACCCTGGGGGTTGGTTGGTGGGGAGGGGAGGGGTGCGCTGCTCTGCCCAGAGCCCCACTCCAGGATGGCCCGCTGACGCCTTTCCCTCCCCACCCATATTTCCCCACTTGAGGTTGCCCCTAGCTGGCTGTCAGACCCTGCTGAGTCCCATCGTTAGCTGCGGGCCCCCTGGAGTTCTGCTCACCAGGCCTGTCATCCTGGCCATGGACCACTGTGGGGAGCCCAGCCCCGACAGCTGGAGCCTGCGCCTCAAAAAGCAGTCCTGCGAGGGCAGCTGGGAGGTGAGTTCAAGCCCACCCACCCCAGCTTGGGCTCAGCTGGAACTAGGCAACCCATCCCTGAGTCTCTGGCTGCTCCTGGAAGCTGCAGTGGGCCTTGAGCTGACCCATGGGCCCTGCCTGTAGGACGTGCTGCACCTGGGCGAGGAGGCACCCTCTCACCTCTACTACTGCCAGCTGGATGCCGGCGCCTGCTATGTCTTCACCGAGCAGCTGGGCCGCTTTGCCCTGGTGGGTGAGGCCCTCAGCGTGGCCGCAGCAAAACGCCTCAAACTGCTTCTGTTTGCCCCCTTGGCCTGCACCTCCCTGGAGTACAACATCCGCGTCTACTGCCTGCATGACACCCATGACGCGCTCAAGGTACCACCGCCCATCCCTGCCACGGGGGGCCTACAGGCTCCTGCCCTGGGGTGGGCAGGGGCTGGGGGCAGAGGCAGGGTGCAGTGGGGAGGGGCTGCCTGGCCCCCAGGCTCTACTGACCACCATGGTGCTGCAGGAGGTGGTGCAGCTGGAGAAGCAGCTGGGAGGACAGCTGATCCAGGAGCCTCGCACACTGCACTTCAAGGACAGTTACCACAACCTGCGCCTGTCCATCCATGATGTGCCCAGCTCCCTGTGGAAGAGCAAGCTCCTCGTCAGCTACCAGGTAAGAGTGTTCAAGGTGCCTGGGGCTGGGCATATCTGGAGCTGGGCACGCCTAAACCTGCCTCTCCACCCCTCCCAGGAGATCCCCTTTTATCACATCTGGAATGGCACGCAGCAGTACCTGCACTGTACCTTCACCTTGGAGCGCGTCAGCCCCAGCACCAGTGACCTGGCCTGCAAGGTGTGGGTGTGGCAGGTGGAGGGCGACGGGCAGAGCTTCAACATCAACTTCAACATCACCAAGGTGGGCAGGAGAGGCATCAGCAGTGCTGTAATGTGCTCCACCCTATCACCCTGCTCTGTCACCCAGCCCACCTGCTCCTAGAAACCACTTGGCAGCTTACTGGAGTCTCCAGGGAAGGAGGTGTAGATGCAAACACAGACAGTTGGGGACAGACGCAATCAGACTTGGGGGACAGCATTGAAGGGGAATGTGGGAGCAGTGGGAAAGGGAAAGAAGGCAGCCCAGGTACCCTTGGGGGCTTTCTGAGAAGGAAGTTTGTACTAGGCCTCTAAGGATGAGTAAGAGGCAGGCAGGCAACAGATAGGGAAAGGGTATGTCTGGCAATGGGAACTGAGAGGGAGAACAAAGGCCACTAGTGAGAGGAGAGCTGTGAGTCCTGAGAGGTGAGCAGAGGATAGGCAGGTGACTAGGGGGTGGGAGAATGAGGCGCTGGGTTCCCCTGCTCACTGGCTGTATAACTTTGGGCAGGTCTCTGCACCACTGAGCCTTGGGTCCCTCTGAGCTCCATTGAGTGCCCATGCCCCCCACCTGTTCTGGGGTGATCTGGGTCACCCCCGGTGGGAGGCACCCATGGACCTGGGCTGGAAGTTCTAAGAGGCACCTCTACCCTTCCCTACCCCCAGGACACGAGATTTGCTGAGTTGCTGGCTCCAGAGAGTGAAGGGGGGGTCCCAGCCCTAGTGGGCCCCAGTGCCTTCAAGATCCCCTTCCTCATTCGGCAGAAGATCATTACCAGCCTGGACCCACCCTGCAGCCGGAGTGCCGACTGGCGGACTCTGGCGCAGAAACTCCACCTGGACAGGTGGGTGGGAGATGGGTGAGGAGGAGCTGCGAAAGTCATCTGCTGTCCAGCCTGGGTGGGTGGGGTGGACAGGATGCCCTGTGAGGCCTGTGCCTCACCCACCAGCAATTGGGGCATCTGGGGTACCAGGGTGGAGGGGTTTCCCTGCCCTCGGGTAAGCACAGGGGTGGAGGGGACAGCCTGAGTTGCGGGCAGGCTGGTGACAAGCTCCTCTACTTCCTTTGCAGCCATCTCAGCTTCTTTGCCTCCAAGCCCAGTCCCACAGCCATGATCCTCAACCTATGGGAGGCGCGGCACTTCCCCAATGGCAACCTCAGTCAGCTGGCTGCAGCAGTGGCCGGACTGGGCCAGCCAGATGCTGGCCTCTTCACAGTATCCGAGGCCGAATGCTGAGGCCAGCCAGGCCCACAACGTCTACACTTCACCAGCTTTGGCACCCGCCAGGGACAGGCAGAAGCCAGATGGGGCCCTTTCCCCACACCGGGAGAGCTGCGTGAACAGGCCCCTGCCTGACGGACACTGTCCCTTAACACTGGTCCTTCAGGCCCGGCCTTCACTCCCACCCCACCATGGCCTGCCTGGCCAGGCTGGGACTGCCGCCTGCTCTGACTCTGCTCCGGCCCCCGGGGCCCAGAGTGGACAGTGCCTCAGCCTCAGCTGGGCCCAGCCTGTCTGTGTGTGTGTCTGTGCGTGTGATGCTACCTCTCCTCTTGCCCCTGGCCCGGGGGCCGCATACACACGGGCATGCACGCACACCCTGGGCTTGGGACATGGCCCTCAGAGCTCCTGTCTGAGCTGGACCTTATGCAAACATTTCTGTGCCTGCCGGGAGGGGGCACGTCTGAGAGGCCCGGCTCCAAGCCTGCAGGACCAAGGGGCCACAGCCGACAGGGGGAGGCCCCTGGATTCAGGCACATGACCACCACACGGGTATGTGCCCACGCATGTCTCGTGTGCTCATCTTACACGCATCCCCTCCACACACACGCATCTCATGCTGTACACCGGAGGCTGCTCACGTCTCTCATGCCTGGTGTCGGTCTACATCTGCCTCTCACATGCTGCCCTTCTCCCACCCACCCAGGGACACCCAACAGCTCCTCCCTTTCCTCCCCCAGCCCCCAGCTTCGAGGAGCCCTGCCCAGTGGGGCATGTGAATATGCAATGGGAGCCCCGGGCTGGTCAATGGCAAGTGTGCATGCCGTGGCGTGCCGTTCCTGGGGCTGGCCGGTAACCCCATGTGGGGCCTGTCACGTGAAGTTCGTGCCCTGACTCTGTCTCAAGTGCATTCACGCACTTACACTTGGCCTTATGTACACAGCCTTGCCCGGCCGCCGGGGCGCGTAGGGATTTTAGCGGACGTGAATGTAAATAAATTATATATATATATTGCTAACCCAAGTGCTACTTCTCTTGGGGAAAGCCAGGGGTTGAGATCAATAGCCACAGAAGGGACACACAGGCTGTTCTGGGAGTCCTGAGTTACTAGACCTGACTGGGGAAACAGTCGGGTCTAGAACCTGGTCCAACAAGGCTGGTTCCTGGCGACTTCCTCAGACATGGGTCTTCTGGGCAAGGCGGCAGGCAACGGCAGTGACCAGCGCTGCACCTTTGCCGGATCCGTCCTCCGACTGCAGGAAAGTGACCACACAGCGAGGGGCCAGCTCCTGCACTGTGGCCGCCACCAGAGTGGAAAAGCTGTGAGGGGGAGGGGCTAAAGTAAGCCCAGGTTAACCAGGCCCCCTTGGCCAGGCCCCCTCCCCAGCCCAGCACCCAAACTCACTGGGGGTGCAATTTGTAGAGGGTCCCATCCACCCCCACAGACACAGTCAGCTCTTCCAGGCCCCGGTTCTCACGAATCTTCTCCACCACGGCAGCCACACCTGCCCCACAAAGCTGGGCAGCCCGCTGGGACACAGCCTGGCACACCTCCAGGACCATCAGGGCATCATCTGTGTTCAGGGGCAGCCCCAGATCCTCCAGGATGGCTCGGACCTGCCTCAGGGCCAGGCTGTCGCTGGGGATAGGAAAGAACAGAGCACAGAGAACCAGGGTCCTGCAGTCCCTACCCACTTCTCTCACGGCTTCTCCATCCTCTGGGGTGAACCTCCCACCAACAAGCACTTCACCCAAAGTGGACAAAGAGACTCCTTTGGGAGGCTGGAGGAGGTAATGTAGGTCTCATGCACCTTTCAATCTCAGAGAGAAACTTGGTTTTGAAGATGTCCCTGGTCTGAAGATGCTGGGTCTGCTGGCCCCGGAAGAGAACTCCAAGACTGGTCAAATGCAAGAGAACATGGCGGACGATCTCCCCCAGGTACATGCCACTGATCATCTTCTCAAACCTGCACAAAATCATGTCTTTGCATAGGGCAGGAGACCTAGCCAGCCAGCCATCCTGCTAGGGCCAGCCCATACCTCTGCTTGCCGGGATTGATGGATGCCTGGTCAACACGTGCATCGAAGCAGGTGCTGAGCATGTCCAGAGAGCCATCATCCCCAAAGGCACCCCACTCCATGTTGATACACATGTTGCCAGAATCCCCGGGCACACTTGCCACATTCTGGAGCTCCTCCATGTAGCAGGCATTGGTGCCAGTTCCTGCAGAGAGATCCGATGGGGTAGGAGCCACTGACTGAGGCAGACAAGGCCCTGTTGAGCCCTTCCCATACTGAGAGGGCAAAATTTGGGCTCATTCCCTGCCTCTCAGTTACCCCATGCTCACAACCTGCCCAAGGTGCTGGTCCTGCCACCTTTCTGACATCTCTGCCACAGACCTCTGCCGCTGACCCTCCAGCATCAGCTCCTCCAGGTTTCCACTACTTTGAAGCCCCACCAGCACCGCCATCAGTGCATGTGTCATGTGAGCCCACGTGCTGCTAAAATGTCATTCCATTAGGAGTATATGACAGGCCTCTTCCTGCGGGTGAGAGCCCACGCTTCCCAAACTGGCCATCAAGGCCTTTAATCAAACTAGCAGGTGTGAGCCAGGAGCTGAAGACTAAGAGAGGACTCAGACAAAACGAGGCCCACAGTGGCCACAGGTTGGGCAATGAGCAGCCAACTCTGATAGTGTGTTGTCTAAATAGACATGCAAAGAAGAGCACTGTGGGGACCCTGACGACTGGTGAGTCTTCCAAGGCTACAGAGAGGAAGTGACATTTGTATTTGAGGTCAAGAAGCACAGAAAGGAAAGGCATTCCAAGCAGAGGGCATACCCTGGGTAAAGGCATCTCCCTCCTCCCCAACACTCAGTCAGCTCTAGGCAGGTGGTCTCCTGAACAGGCCCACCCAAAATTTCTCCATCCAGTTGTTTATTCTCACAGCATCTCTCAAGAAGACCCAGGTCTCGCAGGAGGCCAGAGTGGACCTTGTATTCTAAGAGACCAGTGCCCAGGGATCAGTGGAAGTCCTCCCTCACCTAACTGGATCCTTTCTTCCTAAGTCCCACTCATACTGCTTTCTCAACCTCATCACTCTGGCCTGCAGAACCAGATTCATCTCTCTGTGAATGCCATGTGATGTTCTGGGCTTAGCCGCTGGCAGATGGTCAGTTCTGAGAAGGCAGGGAGTTCCCCTTCTTCTTGTCTTCCTGTCCCTTCATCCATCCCTCAGCTGGCCACAGAATAAGTGATTAATATAGACTTAAAATTTTGGAATACCTGGAGGACTCTCAGCCCTCCATCTCTATCCCCTGCCCCACAGTTCCTAGCACTGGTTGGGACCATGGCACCAGGAGCCAGGCATCATGCCAGGCATTGCCCCCTCTCGTTACATCCTCATGTCCCTTTGAGACAGGCATTATGACTCTCCATCTCAGAGACAGAGAAATGGAGGCTCTGGGACTTGCCCATGGTCCCGCAGGTACACGTGGCAGAGCCCGTATTTCCACCCAAATCTGTATGACTCCAAAACTCAGATCCATTGAACAGTGACCAAATGGAGTCTTTGAGAGCTTAAGTGACTGTGAGACAGCAGCTGAGCTGAGCTAGACCCCCCTTACCTGATAGAGGGTTCCAGTTCCCTATTGGGTAGAGGGGGATAATCCCATATCCCCCAAGCCAGGGAACATCTAACTCAAGAAACCACCAGGAGGCAGTGAATTATCATCAAACAGTAGGGCCCCTCCTCACCGACAATGAGGCCGACCTCGCAGCAGGGATCCTCATAGCCACAGGACATCATGGTCCCCACTGTGTCATTGACAATGGCAACCACATTCAGCTCCACTCCCTGCACACAAAAGGATGCTGCTAGTTGCTGGGCAACGGGGTCGTCACGGCAACTGGTGCTGGACCCAAAGGTCTCTACAGCAGAGGCCCCCCCTGTCACAAAGCAGGGGACCCTTTGCTCCCCTCAAGGTCTGCTGAAAGCCCCAAAGCAACTATGGAGTCAGGGAGTCACCCAGACCCCTTACCTGTTTACGCCCAATGGCTTCCCGCAGCAGACAAACAACATCTTGGCCCTCACAGTCTGATGCTTTAAAGCCTTTCGTCCAGTTCAGGAGGATGCCCTGCAATGGGGCCAAGGTGGGGCAGGAAGCTGTAGGTGTATCTTACTCTGTTTCTCCAAAGCTTGGATCCCTTCATTGTACACAATATCTCCCTCCCTGGCAGGATTCCCTGTCCACTCTGCCATAAGGCTGAGTACTCTGCCGTCTGCCCCCTCCCAACTCCCTGGGAGGCTTCTGGTATGAAGGGACCTATTAATAAGCCACAGATCTACGCATTCTATTATTAGAAGCCTCAATGGATCTGAGGGTCTGGCCATCTTAAGACATTTGCCCAGAAGGAATGGCCCTTTGTAATTGGGTTAGGAATGAACAGAGCTGATAAAGTGAGTGCTGCGTAGGTATGAGAAAGGGGCAGACCACAGATTCTAGTCTTTCAGAAAGAACTAGCAAGAGCTATGGGAATGGAAGGAATTTCTCCCAGTATTATTTCCTTTTATCCCTTTAGCCATGTAACAACAGATATTCTACACTCATTGTCTCAAAAATAGAAACCAGAGAGAGGAAGAGAAGAGATAGTCTAGAGGAGACCAGATCATGAGTAATAGCAAAGCTTCCATGCTCCCTGACAAGGGAAGGCCCCCACACACACCAGCTTGGAGAAGGGGGGCAGGTGTAGAGGGGAGATCTGGCCAAGCCGAATTTTGGATGACTTCCGAGAAAGGAGTCCTATGTCCTTTTCTGTGGGGGAGGGAGGAGACAGAGGGATTTGGGTGATTTGAGAGCAGAGGAGGCCTCTTCTCCTTCCCTATTTATGGACCACGGAGATGCCAAGACCCACAAGAGGAAGCAGCAGAGTCTAGACCACTGGAGTCTGGGTGACTCCCTGAGTCCCCCATGTCTGCCCATTCTGTACACATGTGCAGCCAAGATGGGCCCCTCTGTGGAGAAGAGATCCAAATTGACTAACATGATGTTCTCCCCACAAAAAACATTGTGGACTCAATAAAGTGATAGGAAATGCGGAAGACTGTGTTTCTTGCATGCTTCACTATGCATACTGAGTCCCACATGCTCTTCCCACTTGAAAAAGAATAATCAGGTGTGTGCATTTAGCTTAGCCTAGAGTGGAGCAGACCCACAGGAAGGCCCTGATGATTACTTGACTCAAAGGATCACCATGTAAAAGAAAGCTGAGGACAGTGTCTGAAAGGTGACAGTGGGAGCAGAGTGCGAGGACTGTGAAGATGGTGGAGTGGATGAGCACAGGCGAGAACACAATGGCACCCTTAGTGAGCTCCTGGTCACAAGAGCCTTTTTGGCAGAAGAGATGCCTGAGCACCTGGCTCAGAGTTCTTGGAGGAGTTGTCCCCACGACAGGCCCCAGGTAGGGAGTTGAGTACTCTCATGAGGACACCCAGTCCCCAGCCAGGCCCTGAGAAGACACAGCAAAGGCAGGAAGGGGAGAGAAAGCTAGCAGCCCCTTCAAGAGAGCGGAACAAATGTGGTTCCCCTGGGTGTCATTGGTCCATGAACCAACGCTGGAGGTGACATAGCCCCTATGTCCCTCATGTAGTCCCTATCCGAGCACACACTGATTCTGAGGAGCCCAGACATCACCCGACTCTCCTGCCCACTACCAGCCCCAGAGGTGTCCACAGCCTGATCCTAGGCCTCTTTAGAGTCCTGCATTCCAGGCCACTTCACCACACCCCCTCCACCTAGGCACACCACACCTGGGGGAACTGAGACCGAGTTCAAACCCAACCAACCAGGGCCTCTACCTGCTCCCCCAGCTGGCCCAGGGCACTTGAAGCCCTCTCACTGGCCTCCTACCCACTCCAGGAAGGGTATGTAGGGGTCGAGCTCCCAGGGATGACTTCTCCTGGTCCTCCCTTCCTTACCTGGTCCAGGCCAATCTGCTTGCAAGGGAAGGAGAAGGTAAAACCCAGGGGGAGGCTCTGCCCACTCAGGCCCTGCTTCTGCTGGAAGTCCACAATGCAGTCCACGATGTGGTCGAAGAGCTGAGGGATAGGGCAAGCCAATGTATGGGGCCACCTCTTGCCTCAATCCTTCCCCACTCCTTACATCAGGCCCAGGCTGTGGGTACCTGCTGTCCAGAGCCCTGGGCTACACTCTCAGGGATGGAGTAGACCTGGTTGGTGATCTGCACACCTCCTGTAGCCACACGCACCAGAAGGACCCGAAAGTTGGTGCCCCCAAGGTCCAGGGCCAGGAAGTCCCCTCGTTCTGTGGGTGCAGAGACCTTCAGTGCCAGGACAGAGCTGGACAGAGCTGGCTCCATCACAGCACACTGGGTAACTCCCTGAGCCTGTGTCCCAGCCCCACCCTCAGTCCAGGTCCTCACCGCTGCCATCAGGTGTGGCCCGGACGTAAGTGGGCAGCATGCGGAGGGAGGAGACTTCCCCTCGGAGCCCCTTGGCCATGGCCTCTCGCATCTGTGTCTGCACCGCTGCTAGCTGCTGTTGGCTCAAGCGGAATGGTGCCAGGGTCTCCTCCAACAGGCGCCGGTGGGCAGCCAAGCGGGCAGCCACAGCGGTCACCATTGCCACACCCCGGCCACCCCCATCCACCGTTGGGATGAAGGACACATCACATTCTGGGGCCAGGAGCATCACTGTGTCCTGTAGAATGCTGAGGAACCTATACAGACACATACCAGGCACACCCTGGCTTGGTACCCAGTCCTGAAGTCCCGGGCCCCATTACTTAAAATCAGTTTAATTCTAAATCCATCTGTGCAACAATCATATGCCCAGCACCCCAGAAAACTCCTCCCTTGCACAGCCAAGGAAAAGCATCCTTTCTCTCCTCTGACTTCATTGGCTGCCCGCCCCCCTCCGGGTCCCACCTGGCCCTCACACTGTTTGGGTACCATTCGTACCCACTGCCCCACACCCTCCAGGTGCTACCACAAGCATACTGGTGTTCCTGCTACCTGCTGTTACAAGCTCGTGTGTATTCCCAGTACCTGGGGTGCCGCTCAAACACGCCACCTCCGGTGGCCACAGCAATCTGAAGCGTCTGCTGCTCCCGGCTGTGCTGGAGGCGGGTGAGGACAGCGGCCAGGGCAGCAGCACAGAGCCGGGCAGCCCGAGTGCACACAGCCACACACACCTGCTGCACGAGCTTGGCATCCGAGGCCCCGACGCTCAGGCCCAGGTCCTGCAGGACAGCCTGCACACGGGCTGCCCCGGCTGAGAAGCTGGGGGGACAGGGTGCTGCTTTGGGGCTCAAGTAGCCCAGAAGCTCCCAGCCTGGCCGAAAACCCCATGGCTATGCTATGGGCAGAGCCATACCCCCTCTCCCAAGATGAGATCCCTTTGTCCAAGTCCGCTCCCCTCTCCCACTCACCTCTCCATTTCAGCCACATGCTGCAGGAGGATGCTGCCCTGGCTCAGCAGGGAGGAGGAGACACAGCCTCCAAAGAGGACCCCACGCTCAACCAAGTGAACTAGCACCAAGCGCACCAATTCACCCAGGTACAGACCCCCAATCATCTTCTCAAACCTGCAAGTGGGAAGGGTTGCTAGCCAGAGCCTCTCCGAAACCCTCAGTTCACCCTGTCCTGCCTCCAACTTACTTTGGGGTCCCTAGACTAGAGGTTCCAGAAGCAGATGGTCTCCCAGGAAATAGGTGTTTTACCCAGAACCTGCTGCATCCTTTTCCAGCTTAGGTGGGATTCAGGGGGCTCCTGAGGTTGGCATAACCCACAGGAAGACAGTAGACACTTTACTCAGCTTCCTCCACTGCCCTATCTGTCAGGGTTGTCCAGAGTCAAGAATAAGGGAAGAGAAGGAAAGGCTGAAAACTCTGGATTCTAGAACCTCAAACCCTTCCTTCTTTGATTCTGTCTAGGCCCTCCCAAGGGGTAACCTGGAGACCCTTCAAGTGAGAGAGAGAATGGCTGGAGGGCTCAAACAGAGGGATAGCAGAGGGAGAGGAAAGCAGAGCAGGGATGGGGCCTGGAGCAAAAGTTTGGCTCACCTCTGAGCACCAGGATTCAGGGACTGGTGGTCCAGGGCATGGTCAAAGGTGGTCAGCACTGGCCCCAGGGCCTTGTCATCGCTGAAGGAGCCCCACTCAACACTGACACAGACACGGCCCCGGTCCTCATCCAGTACTGCCACATGCCGTGCCTCCTCCATGTAACATGCATTGGTGCCAGTGTCTGGCAGGGAAGACCCCATCAGGGCCTGCCCACCAGGCAGCCATGCACAAATCCACCCACCACCCACCATCACAAATGGTCCGCAGCTCACCTACAACGAGACCGATCTCACATGGCCCAACCCCGGGTTCACAGCCCATCATGGTGCCCACCGTGTCATTCACCACGGCAACCACATCGATGCTATAGGCCTGGACAATGGAGAGGGCAGAGGTCATAGCCAGCCTGCATGGGCAAAGCAGAGAACCTGGGGAATGGGCAGGACTGGGGCTTCAATGGAGATACCCAGAGCCCATTAAACATGTGCGTCCCCATGCCTGCACTCTTGGGTACCATATGCTCCAGGTTCTCCCACCCTACAGAGAGTTTTCCTCCCATTCCACACCCACCCTGCCTCCTCCACCCCCAACTCAGGCCCTGGAGGGCTCCACTTCCCACCTCAGTCATCACCTCCAGAATATCTGTGCTCCCCACAGGACCCAGGTGAGATGAGCAAGCATGGCACCTTGAAGACTGCACCCTAGACACCTCCTCGAGAGGGCCTCCTCCTGGCCTCCTCCTTCCCAAGCCTGTTCCTTCCAGCCCTGACTTCTGCCACTCACACACCATAGCAGTGAGTCCAGACAGAACCCTTTCTCACACATCCAGACTTGTGTTCATGACCTTCTCTGAAAGGACATACCTGCCCAATGCCAGCATGATACGCCTGGCAAACGGATTGTTCAAGGCCCTGTTCTGTCTTGGTGGCCCTCCCCAGCACACCCAGTGTCACTGGGCTCCTCAGCAGGGATGAGCTGTCATTGGAATGCTTTCCCCACTAGATGACAGTATCAAGTCATTTCACCTGTTTCCACAAGAGTCCTAAACATTTATTTGACTTTTCTTAGTCTCAGTCTCCTAACCTATAACATGGGAATGGATGCAGCATTTAACCCAGGGTTAAACACAATAAAGAATATAAACAGGAAAGGAAAGCAGGTCTTTCCAGAAGCATTGGCATTGCCTATGGGTAGCTGGTGTGGTCTGCACAGGCAGCCCTCCCAGCATCCCTGCCTCCACTCACCCCCTGCCTCTGGATGGCTTCTCGCAGCATCTGGACCACATCCTGGCCTTCCACACCACTGCACTTAAAACCTTTTGTCCAGGAAATGAGGGTGCTCTGGGGGCAGAAATGCTGGGTCACTCTTCCAACAATCTTCACGGGGCTGCCCATCACAGCCTCCACCCTCCATCCCCATGCCCACTCTGCCTCACCTTGTCCAGGCCCGTCTGGTGACAAGGGAAGGGGAAGTTGAACCCAAGCTGCAGACTCTGTTTGTCCAAGGGGAGCATATCCAGGAATTCCGACAGACAGCGGGAGGCAAAATCAAAGAGCTGTGGGACAGGAGACAGGTGGGGGCTCAGCTCTGCACACTGGAGCCCCAACTGCCCAGCAGAGCTCCAGGGATTAAGCACTGAGCACTCACCTGCTCACCGGGACCCAACATCACCTCTTGGGGAATCACAAACTCCTGGCTTTGGGGCTCCATCCTAGGCCCAGCAGTGCCCATCAGGGTCACCCACAGAACACGTAGTGAGGCCCCTGTGGCCCCCAGCTCCAGCACCACAAAGTCTCCTTGCTCTGGGGGCAAGAAGATCATAGGCACACAGCTGGCAAGACAGCCTTCTGCCTGCCTGAAACACCCCCAAAGCCCACAGAATCTGGGCAAGGGACCTTAGAAATAGGGATGGGAATAAGGAACGTGCCCCATTTCCAGATCAAAATATTTTCCCCAGGGCTGGCCCCCTGTCTTAGTCTATGCCACCCACCAGTGCCATGTGGGGTAGACCCCACAAAGGTGGGCAGCATCCGGACAGCAGAGGCGGAGCTGGCCTGCCCCTTCAGTGCCTGCTCCATGGAGGCCAGGAGGCTAGCTTGGATCTGCCGCAGCTGCGCCTCCGTCACCTTGAACTTCTGTAGACACTCCTGCACCTGGGGAGAAACAGAATGACATCTGGATCTGCTTGACCTAGCCCTGTTTCCCGATTCTAGCCAAAACAGAGTCTAGTCCTGCTCAGCTCATCCCCACAACCCCTCACCAGTCCAGACCAGAACTCATCCCTTGGTTTCCCCAAGAGATGGTGAGTGCCGTGCCTGAGCCCTCTGGAGCCTGGCTTGTCTCCCGGTACATGTCTGCCTCCTGGGCTCTTCACACACGCACAACTCTCTTTAGCTCACATCCTCAGAACACTCCTTTCTAGAAGGAGGACCCACCTGCCTCCGCCTCCTACTCCATTCTCTCCTGGCTCCTGCTCAGCTCCCTACATCCCCCTTCACTTCTTTGAATTTGAAGTTTGACGAGGCCTTTCCAGACACATACATTACAGATCCACTCTGGCTTGCCAGAACCTAGGCAGTTGTTTTTAGTGAGCAAATGAACAAGGGCGTGAATGAACTTCAAGTTCAGGTGCTTCCCTCTCCCAATCCACTCAGGAGGAGCCTAAGCAAGCCCAGCACAGGAGAGCCTGGAGCCATCCCTCCCATCAGCCGGCCGTACTTCCCACAGACACTGGCTGCCCACTGTTCCAAGCCCTGTGCACTGCGTGACCCACCCAGCCCTACACTGGGGAGCTAGGACTCCATTGTAGGGGAAGAAAATAAGCAAAGAAACATGTAATATAGTTCTGGTAGTGATGGTAGAAAAGAAAGGCAGGAACTGAATTTAGAGAGTGGGCAGGAGAAGAGGGATTTTGGGATTTTGGGATTTTGGTCAGGGCAGGTCTCCCTGAGGAGGTAGCCTAAATGAAGGAAGGGAACAAGTCATTTGAAGATCTAAGGAAAGAGTGTAAAGGGTTTTTCTTCAGAAGAAGAGGATGAATTTGGGGTAAGGCAGGGCCAGGCGGGTACCAGAGTAGGTAGGCCGGGATGCAGAGGGTGGGACACCATGTTCTTATCCAATGGAAGACTGAGATGAGGAAGCTTCCATCTCTGGATGGAGAACTCCCCTAAGGGCCCTCTGGCCCATTCATCAAAGAAGCCCCAAGGGCCTCCCTGGGTTTCTTGGGGACTCACAGCCCTGTGATTGCATTCTCCAAGGCCTAACCTTTCCCCGGCCCCCACCTGCTGTTGCCCAGGGATACCATTCCTCAGATGCCACGGGACTTGTACCTGCAAAGTAACTACTCAGGCACGCAGAGAGAACCAGCTAAAAGAGCTGCCCATGGAGGGAGAGAAGGGAGACTCGGTTGTACCCCTGCTTTAGGGAGGGAATGGGAACACCTCTGAGGCAAGTGATCCTAACTGGAGTCAGATGTTTCCTTCCAAGTTTATGTTACAGCAGATGCTTTTTGCAGTCATGTGCACTAGGAGGGATGAGTCCTGTGTTATAAATGAGGAAACTGAGGCACAGAGAGGGAACATCATTTGCCTGGCCCACTGATTGTAGAGATGTTTCCACACACATGTGAAATGAAGTCTTATAAAAATTAGCAATTTCCTGAAAAGAACCCAAAGCTGATGAAGTCTGCAAGTGAAGAAATCCCATGGGTCCTGGAATAAGAAAATTTATATCTGAGTCTTCACCCACCACTTCCTGGCTATGTGGCCTGGCCTGTGACAAATCAAACTGAGAGAATAATAATACTCAGAAGGCCTGCACACCAAGAGCTGGGTCTTGTCCTCAGCTCAGATCCACACAAAGCAGCTGGCTCCAGGCAGGCACTCATGAAGGATTTGTTGATTGAGTGGTTGTGGTGACAAAAGAACTAAAGGGGATAATGTATGTGAAAGTGTAAAGTGCTGTTCAGATATAAGGGGTGTTTTATCACAGTTTAATGACAATAGCAGTTCTGGGGAAGTCTATGACTTGAGCAAATGGATGTTTTTCTTCCTTTTCCTCCTGGGTACAGTGAGAGGAGCAAGAAATAACTGGGAGATGGGCAGAGGCCACAAAAGATTATGGAGGACTTCCCTGACCAAATCTGATGGGTGTGAAGTAGCCAGGAGCAGCTACTGAAGTCCTCCCTGCAGGAAGAGTAGGAAGAGGCCACAGCCAGGAGAGCGAGGGCAAAGCCTCAGACAGGGTCAATTCAATATGGCTACACTGCTGGCTCCTTTGAGCAACTTGCTGCATCGGTCAGTCTGACCCTATCACTCACCTCTCTGAGCAGGTTTTCTCTTCTATGAAGTAGGAGCAAATATAGCACCCACTTCTCAGAGGGGCATGAGGCTGAGAAGACAGTAGCTGTTAAAGGGTGGAATAATGGCCAGCCAGGAAGACATATTCAATGAAATGTGGGTTCCTTTTCCTCTGTGCGGGAGAGTCTGGTTCCAAGCAGAGCCCAGGGTAACACGTTCGGTAAGGGACTCTGAGACAGGGCTGGGCTCTCACCACACAGCCACATGAGCCTGGTCCTCAGATCATCGTGGGAAGGGGAGTTGAAGTAGAGGCCTGTGGAGCTGATGGGGACCAAGGTCACAGGAAATTAAGCATCTGTGAAGTCTCCCAAAACCAAAGGAAATTATCTTTAAACTACAGATGTGTGTGTTGGTGCCAGCAGGGGAAATGTGGGACTGGCACAGGGAGGAGAGGGTGGTGGTGACAGACCCTAGAGAAAGCCCAGTCATGGCTCAGTCCTGTGGCCCAGTTATGGGTTGGGCCCAGAGGAAATGCTTACAGCAGGGCCTGGGGCAGTTTTGGATTGAGGTGAAGTGGGAGCATAAAATGCAGTAAGCAGTGATGCCCCCACCATTTGTGCAGTAAGACAAGCCTAGCAAAGCAAACCAGTACCTAAAGAAATGACAGGAACCAATTCAAAAGCCCTTTCCTGGGGCCCTCCTCTATGCAAGTTCTTTTTCTCCATTAGCTCGCTTCATCCTACAGGGGTCACGGGGAAGACTAGATCTTATTTTCCTCCATTTGCTGATGAAGAAACAGAGAGTAAGAGGTCTGAAATGACTTACACAAGTATTTCCTGCTTGAGGGTGTGGTAGGCAAGGGCTTCTAAATCTTTGTCAAGATGACAGAAAAAAGAGAAACTCACTTCTGAGTTAGCCCAAGGCATGTGGCCTCTGCTACAGAATCACTTCTGAGTTAAGTTCACCCTGAAATCACCTGTGGGCCTGTGAGGACTGTGCTGAGGGGGTAGGGGGAGGCATGCAGGAGTGACTGGAGCTGTAGGGAAAGGAAGGGTCCTAAGAACACAGGAAGGAGGAGAGGGCACTAAGCAAGGAAGTGTTGAAAACCCCTAAGACTCCTTTCTAGACAGTGCCAATCCATTCCCCGTGTGGCAAGGTGGCAAAAAGAGTATATTTATAACTGAGACACACCAGCTCAAGGTCCTGTCAGGCCTTAAACTCAAGCCACTTCATCTCTTCATGAGCCTCCTCTTCATAAGCTCCAAAATGAGATCACCCCCTCCTGGCAGTCATGTGGAGTCTCCAAGGAGGTGGAAGGCTCAGCTGTACCATGGGATCTCCAGCCCATGCTGCCTCTGACAGCCTTGAACAGTCAGGAGATGGGAGCCCCCTGCTGAACTTACCAGCTCAGAGCTGTCTGAAAGGCAGGGCAAATCCTTCTGGGGGCAACCTGGGACTCTGTTCCCCCTCAATGCTCCAGACCCCATGGCGTCCATGTGATTCCACATTGTAGGGTGGCCACCTACGGGAGCAAAGGGGCAGCAGGGTGAACCATTTACTCTGCAAGCCCTAGGAAGCCATAATCCAGACCCTGAACTTTCTTCCTTGTGAAGGTCACCAGGAACGAAGTTGTGGACACAGCTCAGAAACTCTGACCATCAGAGAGCCTTTAGTAATCAACCAGAAGGCCCCCAGAAACATGTGGAAGAAGAGAACACTGGGAAGTCTGATTTTTCAATCCAAAGCCATTCATCCATTGTTGTTCATTCATATTTACTGGTTCCTGATGCTGTGTCAGATGCTGGGGTACAGATGAAGCAGACCTACATCCTCCATCTAGACCTACCCAGCCTCACCAACAATCACAGTACACAGATGGTGATAAAGATGGACATGCTGTTGTGTTTAAAGATTTGGAACACAGGACATGGTGTTAGAAGTTGCCAAAGATATGCTGGAGAAGCAGGCAGGACTATGGAGGGACTTCATGCCAAGCTACACTGTGTAAGTTTCATCCTGATGATGATAGGGAGCTGTGGACAGGGGTGCTTCAGAAAGGAGTTCTACTAATGTTGGGACTTTGGGCAAGGCATTCACCACTTATTCGAATTTCAGTTTCTTCATCTGTAACACAGAAGGAAAAACTTACCTTCACAAAATGGAATAACACCTGGGATAATACTTTAGGAAATTTAATGCACAACACAAATGTTAGCTCAAGGGTGGGTTTTGGAAGATGCAGTGATGCCAAGCTAAAAGACCCCTGCGCTCAGAGTCAAAGTCTCAGCTCTCTGCAAAGCAGCTGCCCTGGGTCTCTCAATTCCAAGGTCTCAATTTCTTTATCTCCAAATGAGGAGATACTGAAAGAGCGCCTTGCTCAGAGTGTGTCTCCTCATTTGCTTAGCTGAATCTGAATGGAAAGTGAATGAGCCTCAATTTTCACTGCCATCACAGGACAAAAATTCAGTTCTTGTAACAATTCACAGAGTTAATGGTTCTCAAAGCCCTTTGCACACAGTAAAGAACATATGAAATGTCAGGTGTTTTGCTCACTCAAGCTAGAGGTGGTGTTGCTGTCCCTGGAAGATTCCAAGGGAGCCTTCAGTGAGTCAGGTGTCCTTCAGGGGTGGAGGAAGAGGGAGATGCAGGGGGAAAATAGTGCAAAACTTTATATTATGGCATTGCAGCCCTTTACAGTGTCTACAACCTGTTCCTTCTCGCCATTCCCCTCTACACTCTAGGTGCAGTGACTGCCTGGTCTCCTGCCACTGAGACTTCATCCACAGTGCTCCCCAAGTCTGGAACTGCTGTGTCTGACTCATTCATGCACCTTCAATGCCCAGCTCAGGTTTTGGCACAGGTAGGTGTTAATACAGCTTTGAAAAACTGAGCGCAAGGGATCAGTATTACCAAGAAATATAACAAATCTTCCCAAAGATGCATTTACCTAGACTCAGTTTCTACATCTGCCAAGTGGGAAAGTTAATTTCACCCATGTTACAGGTCTGTTTCAAGGATGAATGGGGTAAATGAAGCATTTACCTTTGGAAAGGGCCAAGGGCTGCACATGTGGTGAACTTTCATGTTCAAGGCTCAGCTAGCTCCCTCATTCACTCACTCTCTTACTCATTCCCTCTTCCATTCAACATTTAGTCAGCACTTCTATATGCCAGATTCTGCAGCTTCTCCCAAGAAATCCTGGTGTTTACTTTCTCAGTAAATGTATTCATTTCTGTCTCTTCCAGATGAGAACCCCTGTGGGGAGGAACAAGTCCCCCGTATCATTAGGCCTGCCTGCCCCCAAGAATCCAGCCCAGGATCTGCATATGTTTAAGTGTGGCCCCTTGGTTTTTAACTCAGTGAATCAACTACATGGAGTGAGTCTTCCTTCTGAAAAGTATCCAGGGACTGCTGCTAAGGCTAGGAGCCACCCAGGAGGACCAGCTGGCTTAGTCTTTCCAGACTCCTCTAGTACAGGCCAAGCAGAGGACATGAGGGCGAGAGGCAGGAGCAGCACAGGCAGGAGTCTCTTACCAGGGAGAAGCAGCAGTTGGTTGCTCTCCTCGCATCCAAGCTCTTTTCTCTCAACTTGAGACATCCCACTGTCCCGGTTTGCACCCCAAAATAAACCTCACGACCTGAGTTACAATGTTTCCAAGTCCCACCCTGTTCTTCTGCAACAGCTAATTGAGGAAGTTGCATTTCCTTTTCAATCTGCCTGAGGTAGGCAGGGCCATGATGCAAATAAGCAAGATGACCTCGGGAAGCAGGAGCCCTAAACTGGCCCAGGGACTCTGAACTGGGATATCCCTTCTGTGATGCTGGGGATTTTGTCCATTTACATTCAGTATGAATTTTGAGGTAGTGGCTCACCCCTGCAAAGGAGATGTAGGGGCCGAGCCTGGGAAAGGTGCTGTAAACTGCTTGTCCAAAATGTGGAAGTACTAAGGAGCCCAAGGCAATGTGGGAACACAAGAGTAAGAGACTAACTCTGCCCTAAGTGGGTCAGGGCAAGTTGAGGAGGCTGAGTCTTGAAGAATGGCATTATATTGGCAGAAATGGTGCTGGACTGAGAGAACATGTAAAAAATCATGGAGCACAAAGCACCTTCATGAAATGGGGTACAGATTCAAGGGCCTAAAGTGGATACGTGTGGGTGGGTCTATAGGGTGGGAGAGGTGACAGGCAGACTTTAGTCTATAGACCAAGTGGGGAGAGTAGGGTCTTCTCTACTGGAAAGGGAGAGTTTCAGGCTGCAGTGCCATTGTTGGTCAACTTGGTTTTCCCTGACCAACTTGAATGGGTGTTCCTCTAAATCTATATTCCTCAAAAAGTTCCCCAAGGTCATGGCATTAGGAAGTGGGCCCTTTGGGAGGTGAAGAGGTAGGGAGGGCAGAGCCCTAACAGTTGGGATGTCCTCATAAAAGAGGTCCAGTCCTCCACGTGAAGATGAGAAGTTGGCTGTCTGCCACTCAGATGAAGGCCCTCACCTAATATTAGGCTGGCATCCTAATATTAGACTTCCAGTCTCCAGAACTGTGAGAAATAAATGTTTTTTGTTTATAAGGCACTTGTGGTATTTTGTTATAGCAACTTGACCAGACTAAGACATCATCATGGTAGGAAATTAGACATACTGCACCAATTTTCATTTTAGGGGAATTGGTGGGAAGATACTTTAAAACTCTGGACCACCTCATCATCAGTAACCCTGTCGTTATCCAGATTGTAGTGGCCCCCACTCAACAGCAGAATGGAGGCCAGGAACGACGGGTCTTATCTCACTTTTGGTATGACCAGGCCTGGAAACATGTCAGATACAAGCCCTGCTGCACAGTTCACTGAGTACCAATCAGGCACCAGGCTCTGAAGGGTAAGAAGTCAGGGTAAGAGCAGAGAAGACAGACTGGCTATCACCTACAGCATCTTGTCCAGTCTGAGTTCCAGTCTCAACCTAGCTGAGTTGGGAGAAACTTTGGAACTGAAAGTAACAGGCCCATGCCGAGAGTACCAGGGTATGCAGTCTTCTGAGTCAGGGTGAGGGCACGCACCTAACAAGCAATACCAGGACTCTTCATCTGCATTTCTGGAGGCCATTTCCCCAGTAGTCAGGGTGTCATTTCCCCAGCAGTCAAGCTCTGTCAGAACCTTTGAAGGGAGGGGTGGGCTGGGGTTTTGGTCTGTGAGCAGCTGTGACAGGCGTGGCTCTAGTGGGGGCACAGCAGAGGCCCAGAGTTCTCTTCCAACACCAAATGCCCAACAAGGGAAGGACAAGTCCTGACAAGGCTGCCTCATAGCCCCTTAAGGCCAGACTCCAGCTGTCCAAAAGGAACTAAGGAATGGGGAGAGGCAGTCAGCTGGGGAAAGGTAGGCTACAGCTAGAGCCCCACTGCTAGGCTGGGAGCCAGGCCCTCTCTGCTTGGAGCTGCTCAGACTTGCTTCTCACAGCACAGTGCCTTGGAGCCAGGCACATAGGCGCCCTTTAAGCTGGCCCACCAAGCCCTCCATACCCTTGTTCTGCTGATGCGCTTCCTCCAGCCATCAGACTGTTTCTTGCCATTAGGACTTTGTTCATGCTAATCTGTCTGGAATGACCCCTCCTTTGCCCTCTCTAGCCTTTTTACCTAATTTTTCTTCATTCTCTAAATGACACTTCAGTCATCATCAATGCTGGGGAGCCTTCCCCAACGAGTTACCTCTGGCCCTGACCCCTGCTGTGTGTGGCCTATTGAAATACTCTGGTTTCCACTGTTAAGTCTATAAAATCATCTGTTTAGGTGTTTGTCTTCCCCCACTGTAGTGCAGGTTCCCAGAGAATGTTTCTTACTCATTTTTGGAGCCCCAGGGCCAATTCTAGACTTGACAGGAAATAGGTACCAATTAATTTTTGTTAAATTGAAGAGTCCTCCCACAGCCTTGACAGTTCAGGGCTTTTGAAACTGATAGGCAATAAGCAACCTCTTCCTGCCTTCCTGATGTATGTAGTGACAGCAGCCTATCCACTCTGGATTTATAGTTTCTTCTATCTTCCCACTGGTACTTCTCTCCCATCTACCCACTATCTGCCTCCCCTCACCCCATTTCCATCTATTAAATCAACTTAGGGCCAAAGCTCACAGGTGAGAATGAATCCATCCAAGCCTGAAATTTCCAGTGAGAGGTAGGAGGTATAGTGTAGTACAGAGAGCATCAGCTCTGGCGTTAGACACGCCTGCTTTCAAATAACATCCCATTTACCAGCTATACGACCTAAGGTGAATTTCTTTACTTAATGAGCCTCAGTGTTCCACAAATAAAACATACAGACTAATTTCTCCACAGGATTTGCCTTAGGTTGGGTTCCTCCAGAAGCAGACCTATCTGAATACAAATAGGTTAACTGGGAAGTGATCTGGACCAGGGTTGGGACTAGGATGAAGCAGTGAGGTGATTTAGCACAAAATGTGAAGGCCACTCTGAGTTCACAGTGCCCACCCTGCCTTTACATGCCTTTACAACTCACTCTAGTCCTAGCCCTGATTCAAGAAGCACTGACAGGAAAGCAAGAAGAAAGGAAGAGCGGGAGGAAAGAGGGAGGGAGGGAGGAAGTCAACAGAATATACACTGTTAAATTGCTGTTGAGAGCTACTAAGGCTCAATCCCACAGGGAAACTCTGGGAGAAGGTGGAACACAGCCAACTGAAAGAATGACCTTGGGAGTTGAGGAAGGTGAAGTATTTATCCTCCAATTTCCATCTTTCTAAGGCTAGGGGCTGCCTCAGGGGTCCTAACCTCCAGCACTCCCAGCCTATGCCACACACGAGCCTAGAGAAGTACAAAAGCAGAGGGCTGCAGGTTCTTATAACAGGCTCTTTGGTATGTAATAGAATGGCGAGTGTCCAGGGAGAACAGGTAAGGCACAGCCTCTGCCAGAGAGGGCTATTTTAAGGATAAAATGAAATAACACAACCACAGAGCCTAATCTAGAGATGCCCCCTTCTCTTTCCTAATATGTGGCAATAACTTGTGAAGTTCACAGAGCTTCGCAGTTCTCCATGAGTTGGCAGCACAAGGAGCACTGCTGCTCATTTTTCAGAAGAAGCTAAAGAACACCCACAGGTCCTAGGAGAACCCTAAATGCCCAGGACCCAAGCTTGCCTTGGAAGACTGGTGGTTGATGAAGCCAACACAGTAGAGGGCTCTCTCCTCTAAGAACTTATTTGCACTTCATCTCTGGCTTTTACACCTCTCGTTCTAACACTACTTATGGACATGTAAAATTAGCATCACTTTAATAACAACTGCTGCCACTTACTCATCATCTCTCAAGTGATAGATACCACACCTAGTACCCATTATCTTAAACCTGAGAATCCCAAAGGTATGACTTTTCCCACTTTATGGACAAGGAAATTAGGTTTCAGAGAAGTTAACTTTTATCAGATGCAGTGGTTCAGACTCCGGCTGATGTGGTACTCTTTCTACTTTCTTCACTGTCTCATTAATGCCCTTCCCACAGGACCAGTGGCACAGGAGAGTAAGACAAATAAGCAGCCTTTACAATTGACTGCCCCCTTGGGCGGGAACAACAGTCTAAGGGTAGCTGTTTTCACATGATTCCTATTAGCTATTCCTGGTCCTGCTGATCCACAATTTCGTCCAACAATTTGCCACTGACCCATGTTCTAGGGAGACTGCTCAATTTTAAGCTAAATAATTCACTTTCTAGAATCAGCCATTTCCCTTTTCTTATCTTCAGGCAGAGAGATAAATATACTATATCCTGTTTATAGAGCTCTACCTCCAATAGATTGCCATTTAATGAGAGAGAAGACTAGTAAAAGCTGAGCTGATGGGACATAACTGATAAACTACTTTTCATTGGAAGGAAAACAGGAAAATAATCAATACTAGAGTAAAAATATAGCATTTTCTACAGGACTGAAGGGGTCTCATTGCTATAGACAAAAAGTGGCTTTATTTGTTCCTCTAAGCATTTGCTTCCTCATCTGAAAAATTTGGGAGGGATAATATCTACAGGTTGCCATGAAGATTAAATGTCACTGCCTGAACTACAGTGGTTGCTAAAAAAAAAAGTCTTGTGTGATGTTGGCTGCAGTGTCAGCACCATCCCACACCAAGACATGGAAGCAACACACAGCGCGCCTGCCATCCTGCCATCTGCTAACAGAGTGCTTGTGTACAAAGGCACCTAGGCAGGCAACATGCCTAAAAGGCTGTACAATGCCTTCCATTCCAGCTTCTCTGAGGCCCACAGCCTAGTATTGACTTCATTATCATTTTAAAATAAAGAGACCAATAGCTTTGACTTAATAAATCAGAAGGTAGCAGAGTCTAAGTGGTGACACTTGTTAATACTGTCCAAGCATCCTTCCCTGGTCAGCAGCCACCCCTCACAGTCTTCTATTACATCTTCAAATCAGCTTGAGCCCAAGCTGGCTTTCTTAACAGCCTTGTTTGGTCATATCCCCAAGTAGTTTTCCTGCTATTCAACATCCTCTGTCCTTTGGCGTCCACTCATGCATTGAGGACCACATCTCTACTGTATACTGGAATTTTTCTGGGCAATGTGGTTG